AAAAAAAAATTAAAAAAAATAAAAAAATAAAAAAAATAAAAAAAGAATGAGTGTACACCCTAAACTAGAAACAGCTATCTTATGAATGTGTGCCTTCTGATGAAGAAGAGAATAGACACTCACGGAATACTTTCCATGTGACATTTCCATTTTAAGACTTTTATATATCTTATCTCATTTAATCATCACAACAATTTTATGAAATAAGTACTATTATTATCCCCGTTCTTCAGATAAGGAAATGTAAGAGAGAAGGTGTAAGCTTTTCTAAAGTCCCATAGCTTGTAAGATTAAAATCTGGGAAATATGGCACCAGATCTCCATTCGTAATACTGGCATGCTGGTCAATGCTGGTCTCATTGTGGGGTCCACCCTTTTCCAGGCACAGGCTCTCTGTGGGTGCCTCAGGCTGCCATATTGATGGCAGCTTCAAGTCTGCGGCAGTTTGGTGGGAGCGCCAGGATTCACTCATCACAGAAGCTTGTTCTCAGAAGAAGAAGCTTGTTCTGGAGAAAGGTAATCACCTCTGCTTATCTAAAACTCTGGAAAGTGGCTGGCATTCAGAGACCTTAACTGCCATTTTAATTCCCCATCTACACTTGCATGGGTTGGGCCAATCAACTGAAAAGGACCCATGTTCTTGAACTCCACCTCCCTGCTGTGGAAGGAAACAGCTTTCTCTTATTCCCTCTTTTTTCACCAGCCTCACTATCTGGGAGAAGTTTGGAAAAGGAGTGAGTTCAGTCAGGTTAAACTTTGCACAAGAAAGATGCCCATCTTTTCTCCGGCCCACACTTGTGCGAAGTAGGTCAGCTCCACTTTTTCCTCAGGCTTCGACGGCAGGTTCCTTTACAACAGTCTGCAAACTTAACTATAAATATAGCCAACTTTCCCTAACTTTCTGGCAACACTTAAGAGGTTTGCCTACCACATTCTCTGGATTGAAGCCCCTGAAACCAGTTCTCGCACCTTCAACCACAGTCACTGACACATTAATTCAGAGCACTTGTGGCCTCCTCAGATTGACCTTATGAGACATTCCATAGATCATGTTCTTTCTGCCAGCTCAATATTAGCTCTATCAAGGGTACAACTGTCTTTTCTCTTGGGATAGAAATTGTATCTCCTCAAAACACTCTCAGTTTCTGGTAATCATTCCCGTCACAAGCCAACTGGCCTTTCCTTAGCTCTCTCATCTGCTCCAACATGGTAAACCATGCCTCAAATGGCAGGCCCGGGCTTGGAGAATAATTTTCACCTTGTATCCGGGATTCTGACAATACAGCTCCTCAATCTTCAAGCAGTGGTTTAATTTTTAATAATTTTTTTTCTGAAATGAAAATCTTGAAACAATTGTTGGGCAGAGTGGCATTTATCCTAATTTCCTTCATCGTCTTCTGGACAATCTTATATGTAGAATTGTGTAGTAATTTTCAAACTCTGACTCCTTATAGCCCACTAGACATAAATCACAAAGGATTTCTGAGTATACACCAGAGAATACTCTGAGTATATACCAGAGTATATTATACTTCTGAGTATATTATCAAAGTAATAAGTTGGTTGGTCAAGTACCTGATTTTACTGGGACTGAGGCATTGCCCAGGATGTGGGACTTTCACTGCTAAAACTTCAAAATAATCTGGCTTCAGTGCAAAGAGCTATAATCTATCATAGCTCTGATATGGACTGTACAAGATAATTCAGGGGCTGGGGGAAGCAACATATAAGGATTATGAGTCCACATATTTAGGTATGGGGGGGAAGTCACCTAACACATTATCAAGTGTTCTGGTAGAAATGGGGCGCCTGGGTGGCTCAGTCAGTTAAGCAGCTGACTTCGGCTCAGGTCATGATTTTGCAGTCTGTGAGTTTGAGCCTCGCCTAGGGCTCTGTGCTGACAGCCTGGAGCCTGGAGCCTGCTTCTGTTTCTATGTCTCCCTCTCTCTCTGCCCCTCCCCCATTTGTGCTCTGTCTCTCTCTGTCTTTCAAAAATG